GAGGGTAGTCTCTCGCCCGGCGCAGGTGTGACTTGCAGAGGTGGGACGCTCTGTTCTTCTCAAGCCATGCGCGGGTCATCTTGCGCCCGACGTATCTAGTCTGCTCTGCTCCTTAGCTCCTTAAGTTTCCAATCTAAAGGATCTTCAATCCTCAAATCTCTAGCTCAATACCTGCATAAAAAATGAGGTGTATTAAGGTATTGTTAGCTAAATATGAGTTAGTTATATCTGCACAAAAGATGAATCAAAAAGGTTATAATTTTCTTGCAATGGTGCAAAGAATGAGTAGAATTGTTCAATAAGTCTCATTCAGAAAGAGGTATAATTGAGACTTAACAGCGACCTACATGAAGAATTATACATGACGCTGCCTCCAGGATACCCCACATCAGAAAAACACCTTGTTTGCAAGTTAAAGAGGTCGTTATACGGTTTAAGGCAAGTAAGCAGACAATGGTTCAACAAGTTTTCCTCCACACTCAAGTGTCTAGGCTTTACACAATCTAGACATGATTACTCATTATTTACTTGTGGTAATGGTCCTAACCTTGTCATTTTAATTGTCTATGTTGATGATATCATCATCGCAGGTCCCAATACTTCAAGGATCCATCAAGTACAGGTTTCTTTACAAAAACATTTCAAGCTAAAAGTGCTTGGGGACCTCAAATACTTCCTAGGTTTGGAGATAGCTAGAAGTATAAAGGGAATCAATCTCTATACATAAGGCTTATCGTAAAACTTTTGTATCTTACCATTTCGCGCCCTGATATAACATACACTGTCCATAAGCTAAGTCAATTCATGCAAAGTCCGAGAAGTCCTCACCTTAAGACAGTTCATCATCTATTGCAGTATCTAAAAGGAACACCTGGACAAGGTATTTTATTCCATTCTGATTCAAATCTTAACTTGACTGTTTACAGCGATGCAGATTGGGCAGGATGCCTCAATACCAGAAGATTGACAACAGGATTTGCCATTTTTCTAGGTGAATCCTTAATTTCTTGGAGGTCCAAAAGACAAAACACAGTGTCAAAATCATCCACTGAGGCTTAATACAAATATATTTCTACTGCATCCAGTGAGCTGATTTGGCTACAAAGACTTCTTACACACTTTGAAGTACATATTTCCTCCGCTATGTTGCTCTGTGATAACAAATTTGCCATTTCTTTGGCAACAAACCCAGGACTACATGAAAGATCCAAACACATTGATATTGATCACCACTATAAATACGAGAAGACTTGGTGTACCCTCTAGACAGGTACACTTGCTTTGTCTGTCTTTAATTTTCGTTCCTTATGGAGAGAAATGTATGTTAGTGCATTAATTGCTTGCATTGAATGAGTTTCACCAAATTGTTACTTCTTATCTGATCAAGGAAGTTACTTATCACCTTTGATGTACCAAACATGTGGATTCATGCGTGTGTTAGTTCAAAACAACTTTTTTCTAAGGATTTCCGTGATTTAAGGGACCTATTTATCTTTTTTTATTTTTATTTTTATGCAAAACATGTCTTCCTTCTCTTTTGTTATTGTGGGTACCAAGAAAGCTATTTTACTTCGATCTGTTAAGGAATCATGTATACAAAGATTGATTTAGTTATCACACATCATAAATGATATGAATTCAAAATAAATGCCTTATAGATGAAGTGTTTTATTTGTTAGACTTTTTATGTCAAGATAATTAATCGTCTTAGTACATTTGTTTTAATGAATGATCTGAAAAACTTTTCTCTGGAAAAACATTTATGTCTATTATCATAAAAACTTTTAACTTGAAGAATCTAAGATTTTTACTTAACAATTATAATATTCAAAATTCCAAAATTTAAAATTTCTCATCAAATTGAAATAAAAAGAATTTAGGTTATTTATAACATTAGTGTGTGAAATATAACTTTGAAAGATATTAAAGATAAAACATTGAGAATGTATAACTATGAGAGTGAAAGTTTCACTTTTAATTTATATACAATATTGTTACCAATAATGTCATAAGTTTTCTCAAGATTTTTTCGATAATGATAATAACTCTCAAAATAAAAAAAAATTTGTACAATCTTCGTCATACATTCTTAAGGAATGTGATTGAAACATTTTTGGTATTTTTAAATTATGCTTCACAATTTTTAAGTATACATTTTCATTTTTATTTAAGACACAGCTAGAACTTATGTTATAATGCTAAATAATTTTCTTCATAAAGAATGTTGTTTAGATAAATTTTCAATTGAATTAATAAATGAATCTTAAATTTTAGTGTTGCCAAATAATGACTATCATATTTTTGAATTTATCATTCCAATTTGAGAATATGAACAAAAAATGTCAATGCATGAAAGGTATATGTGAAGAAATGTTAGTTAGAATGAGATGAAACTATAATTAGTTGTCTATTGTCTATTTAAAGATTAGAAAATTTATACTATATTTTCTTTAATTATTTATTTAAATCTTATAATTTATGTTATTTTTTTATTAATTGTATTGTTTTCTAAAAATTAGGCTTAATTTTTTTAGATGATCAATAAAAATTAGATTTTTATTTTGTATAAGTGCAAATTAAAGTTTAAATTTCATAAATTTAGCTTAAATAGAAGTTTAGTTTCTTTAAATTAAGATTATTTTAATTTAATCCCCTCAATTCTAATTATTTTTGTTTTAATCCTCTTAAATTTAGTTATTTTCATTTTAGTTCTTCCAAATTTTAATTGAATTCATTTTAATCATTATTTTTTTCTATTTTGGTCCTAACAATTTTTTTCTTGATTTTTCTATGTTAGTTTCTATAATTTTTTTGACTTTTTTTTCATTAAATTTAATAGTCAATATAATGGTAAAGATGAAAATAAAATTAAAAATAATTATGGAGATGAAAATATTTTTTAAAAGAATTAAAAAAAATATTTTCTGTTTTACAAAGACTAAAAAATTATTTAAACTTATTATTAAATTAACTCTTATATATATATATATATATATATATGTATATATATATATTATTTAATATAAATAACTAGTTTTGATCACATAAATTATATTTTAAATTTATAATAAATAATTACTTCTTATATATTAAACATAAAGATTTATGTTACGTAAGAGTATTTTTTATAAAAAAATTTATGTGAAAATTTTTAGAAACGATTAAATTTAATATTTTTAAAATAAATTGTCAATAAATAAAAAGAATCTATATTACAATATAAATTATTTATCATAAATATAAAATATAATTTACATATTTAAGAATATCTACTCATTCAAAATATAAATATAATTTATACATTAAAATATAATATTATTTATATATATAATTTATTTTAGATTTTAATTATCTATATCTATTATAAAAGAATATTTAATTTAATAACCGATTTCGATTTCCATTTTTAAACGAATCATTCTATTTACCTATCATAAAAAGAATATCCAATTTAATAATTAATTTTAATTTTAATTTTTAAATGGACCATTTTATCCATACATATTATAAATGAGATATCCAATTTAATAACTGACTTTGGTTTCTATTTTTAAATATACCATTCTATCCTTTATTTATTTTCTACAACTTCTTAAAATCATCTCCTCAATATCTCTTTTTCTTTTTATTTTAAAGTACAATCACATGTAAATAATTGCCTATTTTTTTTTAAATTTTATTCTAAAACTATTTTTGAGTAACTATTCATAAAAATAATAACTTTTTTAATATAGTGTATAATAAATAATTAAACTAATGCATATACTAAAATACTACTAATTGTCTTAAAGACTTAAATATGTTTTTAGTTTCTCAAATTTAGGATAAATTTATTTTTAATTCTTTAAATTTAAAATTATTATTTTTAATCTTTATAATTTTAAAAAAATTTATTTTAGTCTTTATATTCAAATTATTTTTAGAAATTTATCAAATATTATTATATAAAATCTATCTTTGTCTTTGTTAGTAAAAATATCACATTAAATATAATTGATATTATATAATCATTTTATTTTATTATTTTTAGATATGTTATTGATGATCTAAAAAATTATAATAATTTTTTTAAAAATTATAAAATTAAAAATAATAATTTTAAATTTAAAAAATCAAATATAAGTTTATCTTAAATTTAAGTGATTAAAAACATGCTTTTATCCTATATCTGTTTTTGCACCACAAACTGCAAAGTTAATTTCGGAGCAGCTAAAGAAAACCCGACCCGAGTATATTTACCGTACGAGCACATTCGCCCGTTACATACAAACAAGTTCAAAATTTATAATATAAAATTAAAAACTATCTGTTCTGGACTATTCTGTTCTACATTACAATACTCCACAGCGCAGCTTTTTTAGTTCTTCGGTTCTTACCGAGAATCTGCGGAAAAAAAAAAAAAAAAATCCAACCGCGCTTGCGTGGCGTAATGAGCAGAAATTGGAGCTTCAACCTCAGACTCCCACCGCTTAAGCTCACAGCGACAACAATCGATTATTTCCGAAGCCAAACGCAACCGAAAGTTTGAGTCAGAACTCTAACCCACACAATGCCGAAGGAGGAGCGCCCACACGACACGTTAACGGCGAAGATGAAAGCGCTTCTTGCGTTGTACGAGAAGCACAAGCAGAAGCACGGCGCTGCCGCGTTAATTCCTCCCAAGAACCCTTCTTTGAAGGCAAACGAGACGCGCATTCTCGTCTTCGTGAGGGTGAGGCCGTTGGCGAAGAAGGAAACGGAAGCGGGTTCACGGTGCTGCGTCAGAGTCGTCGATCGCCGTGACGTCTTTCTGACGGAGTTTGCCTCCGAGAAGGATTACCTCCGCTTGAAGAGGCTTCGCGGTCGCCATTTCGCCTTCGATGCTTCCTTTCCCGATTCGGCTTCTCAACAAGAAGTTTATTCCACCACGTGAGTCACGAGTCTCGGTGTGTTTTACTTGGATTCGGTTCGTGAACTTGTTGAATGAATTTTTGAGAAAGAACGACGTTTAGATCCAATGATTTAGGGATTTGTTTATTTATTTAATGTTCTCTCGTCAAATTAGAGTTTCTTCTTGTTAGAGTTCAATGACTTGAGTTATTGCATGCTATTAGGGAGCTGAAAATGGGTATAGCATTACTGAAAATAAGGAAATTATCACGAGTTTCCATTTCGGTAGTTCCTTGATTAATTTAACATTTTGAGAACTTAGGAATGGGAATGAGTTGAGTTAGCTTATTTAGAAGATTTTTCCTTCAGTTTTTTGAGAATTGAAAAGAGATTATATTTTGAAAGTGTATATACGAACATACTAGTGTGGTGCTTTTCATGGTTGAGAGACTAAGTGAATGTTTGGATAGCAGTTTGAAATCACGTTAGATGGAAAAATACACGTTCCAATACAGAAAAAGTAAACCCTTGTGAGTGTAATTTTTTTAACCCAACTCAGTTGGTTCCCAAATACATTCTAAGGTTTTGTTTGTTTATACTTTTTGCATTTTTGGTTTGAGAAAACTGTGTTGGACATGCATTGGAATTTGGGAAATGTTTGTCCTTCAAACTAGGTTTCTCTCACTACTTGAACTGGCACTAATGACAGATGTGGTGTTTTCTGAAGACTAATTTTAATTTCTCTATTGACTAGTTTTGTCTTTATACTAATACAGCTTTTATGTTGATATAAAGTGTTGTCCATGTCATTCGTGAGGTAGATCATTTTCCAGAGTTGAATATATGTTACATTATATTGCAGTATTGATATCAGTGATGTGCTTTTATTTTCTCTTCTATTTGTGTCAGTGGAGCTTGTTTTGACAATTTTTGTATGCGCATTGTAAGGTATTCTGGAGGATTGAACTTTTTATGTCAATATTACTAATTGAGCTTCAAGCTCGTTGGTGTTTGGAGTTCATTTGACTTTTATATTATACTTGTAAATTAAAACTTGGGTTTGATAGCAGTATAGAATCTTTTCCATGCTTAATATTTAGCATGCATTCAAAATCTTGTTGCCCAGACCAATGAAAAGGTATACATTGACCTTACATTTTCAGAACCTCAGAACTTGTGGAGGCAGTTCTGCAAGGGAGGAATGGGTCAGTTTTCTGTTATGGTGCCACTGGAGCTGGAAAAACTTACACAATGCTTGGTACAGTGGAGAGTCCTGGTGTGATGGTGTTGGCAATTAAGGATCTGTTCAGTAAAATCAGGATGAGAAGTTGTGACGGAAACCATGTGGTTCATCTGTCCTATCTTGAGGTTTATAATGAAACTGTCAGGGATTTGCTTTCACCTGGAAGACCTCTGATTCTCAGAGAAGATAAACAGGTCCATGTTCTTATCTCATAAATGTAAAATCTTCAGAAACATTCGAGAGAAGCTACTGAGCATTATTTGTACCCGCTGTGTCACAGGCACATTATAGTGTATGTGATTAGACACTCTTGTGACTTGATTGTCTTCAGTTAATGCTTGTTCTTGAGAGAAATCGAATGGTTTTCTTATGGTATTGCTTGATGTTAATGTTTGGTCATATTCTATTTTTCAAACATATGACAAGTATCACCTGGGTTTCCAAACCCTCACAGGCCACCTGTTTTACTATTCAGATAAAATATATAGAAAATGAATTTGTTGGTTTAGATATTAGCTACTTATGCCATCCTGTCAATTGTTCCATAAACTCTCCCGACTCAAATTTATCCCTTAAAATTTTAACTCTGAAAGATATCTGATTGTATATTGTCTAATTATGTTATAGGGGATTATTGCAGCTGGTCTTACACAATACCGAGCTTATTCCACTGATGAAGTAATATCCTGATCCATTTTGGTGGATTACAAATTTACACAGCTGTTTGTACCCTCAGACTCAGAGAGGAGTTTGTTTATTCTTTTCTATATTACTTCAGGTGATGATATTGCTTCAACAAGGAAATAAGAACAGAACCACAGAACCAACTCGTGCAAATGAAACATCTTCACGCTCCCATGCTATTTTGCAGGTAAACTTTGAAGCTTTTGAGGTAAAGAAAATGAGCAATCCCTTAAATGTTTTGATTTTGACGTGCTTAATTTGTTATATTTAGGTTGTGGTTGAGTACCAAGTTAAAGATGCTGCAATGAATATTATTAACAAAATCGGCAAGCTCTCACTGATTGATCTTGCAGGGTCAGAGAGAGCTCTTGCCACAGATCAAAGAACAGTTAGATCTCTTGAAGGTGCCAATATAAACCGGTCTCTCCTGGCACTAAGCAGCTGCATTAATGCTCTTGTAGAAGGCAAGAAACACATACCATACAGAAATTCAAAACTCACTCAACTTCTCAAGGACTCATTAGGAGGAACTTGCAACACTGTCATGATTGCAAATATAAGCCCAAGTAACCTCTCATTTGGTGAAACTCAGAACACCCTTCATTGGGCTGATAGGGCCAAGGAGATTCGAACAAAGGTCTAATCATCCTCTTATCATTTCAAGCTCTTCATATTTACACTAGTATCTTCCAAATATTGCCATAAATCAACATACGCATTAATATTTGGATCTTCAGAAGAGATAACAAGTATTTTTCTGCATTTTAGTTTATAACCTCTACAGGTACGTTGTTTAATTTTTATTTAACTTGTTTTATATGGCTGTAGGCAACTAATGCAAATGAGGATCTATTGTCAGTACCTGAGACGGAAACAGACCGGGCCAAGCTAGTACTCGATCTGCAAAAGGAGAATTGTGAATTGCGAATGCAGCTAGCACGGCAGCACCAGAAGCTTATGACACTCCAAGCAGAGTCTCTAGCCCCCCCAACACCACCTTCAGCTACATCTCTTCTTTCCACTCCTCCAACTTCTGCCCGACCAAATGAAAAACTAAGGACCAGATCCTCTTTCATAGCCGCAACTGAGACCAAAAGCAAGGGAGATGAGGTGGCTGTCACAATCAGAACAATTCAACAAAGAGTAAAAGCCTTGGAGGCAGAACTAGAGAAAGTGAAAAAGAATCACAGCTTGCAGCTAAAGCAGAAAGATGATGTCATTCGTGAGCTTTCACAAAAGGGTGGGAAAAAAGTGGTAGCAGCAAGGGCTAGTCTACGGCCAAAAGTGGCAAACACCGGAGAATTGAAGAGTCCTAGCCATCGATTTCGGTCACCAGTATCAACTGCGAAGAAACGAAGCTTTTGGGACATAACGGCTGCGAATAGCCCATCAGTTACCACATTGAATGGGAGAAAAACTAGAAGTCATGTTATTTCTGAACCTACTGCACCTTCATCTATGCTTCTTCAGGTCTAATGTTTCTTTTCACCTTACTCATACTTTTCACCTGCATGTACATCAGCGTATAACACAACTAAGTCTCTCATCTAAGGTCTCCTATAATATGTACTCTTTTTATAGTTAGTACTCTATACTCATAATGCAGCTCTTTTTTCTTATGTTTATCTCAGAAAATAAATTAACAAGGAAAAATACAACTATTTAGGCATTTTTAGTATTATTCTCTAATCAGAATTGAAATTTTATTTTGTTTTAATCTATAGTAACATTTAATGTAAACCTTTATTACACTCTAGTAAAACTCTAATTTTAATTGGGAAACAACATAAAAAAAATATCTGCGAAACTACACCCAAGTTTTTTTCAAAAGATAAAAAAAAAAACTAACATGTCATGATTTTCTGAAAACTTCACCCAATTGAGAGATGATGATTCTTAGTTACAATGTTGGGATCCCTTTCTTACATTTGTAATAAACTTCATGGACGTATTTTTTTTCTCTGTTTGTTGTGTTACTGATCCAACTTGTGGATTACATTATTCAGCCTGGATTTGCTAGACAAAAGGGCGTTATTTAAAAGTGATCTTCAAGAATGGAGCTAGAAGGGAAAGTTTAAGGACAGAAGCCCAATTGATAGAAGGTCTGTTTGTTTTTATTTATCTAGACCTTGACACCTCCTCAACTTCTGTCTGGTGGCCCAATACGAAAGAGATCATTGCAGGTTGGTGTGCTCCTCCTACTTCCATCTAATCTCCGCTCGTGCAATTCAGTTATAGGAATAGGAGGATAGTTTCTTTAGGCCTAGTAAGCAGCAGACCAGTGTGCTGTTTTACATGCTTCATTGAAACTTTTGGAGGAAACTCCAATTGTATTTGTACATCCATTTTTTCCATTTTTTTTTTATCAATGGGACATAATTTTTTAATTTGAGTTTGTAAACTAACGCCCCAGCTAAAAATAAGTTCATGGGTGAGCAGGAGAGGATTAAATTTTATTTTGGATTAATTGCTCAGATAGCTCAAAATCTTCATATAGTTTCTACACTTGCAATATTGTTGTTGGTTAAATTAAACTTTTGATTTTTTTTAATTAGGTCATTTTAGTCTGTTAATTGACTATTAGTTGATGATAACTTGACATGCATCAGGCTAGTATATATCTACAAATATTGTATAATTTGTATTATTTGATTTATTTATTTTTGCTATCCATGGTGATTTTACCTTGTTCAAGTAGTATTGTCTCGCGGAGAATATATATGGTTTTCTATTTACTATATTTATTTTATCTACTAATGTTTTTTTTTATTCAATAGGATAATTTACTTTACTATTTAATATATTTTTCATCTAATAAATATAAATATAAAATAAGCAATACAATATTAATATATTTATTATTTAATATATTTTCATACTAATATAAATTTTATCATATTAAAATAAATAATATAACATTAATGATGTATTAAAAAATAAAAATTGGAATTCATCAAGAATAAAAGCCAAAAAGTGATTTTATGTTTATATTTATTGTATAAAAAATTAAATAGTAAGTTCTATAATTTATTTACTAAAAGTACTTTTATTTTAATTATATAAATTTATTATTTATTAATTTTAAATTATTTTTAATATTATATAAGAATTATAAAACAAATATTATTATAATATAGTGTTTATATTATAGTTCAAAAAGGTAGATGATCAAGTAATCTAAACAATGAATTTCAAATTGAGGGTCATGATATTCTAATCTTGGAGTTACTTTTAATATTTTTAAAATTTTATATCTTTTTGTCGTATCAGCCCCATATAACTTGTTCATATCTGTGTCACATGCGTCAAATAACAACAACAATTAACGTACGAACAATACCAAAATTGTGTAATTACAAAGGAAAATAAATATGCGACTAAAATTGCATATAATAAGTTATAGCCTTATAGGGAAATAATGCAATTTTAATCCCACATATGCACTTTTAGTTCCATTTTAGTTCTCGTTATTAAGCGTGTTTTAATACCTTTACTTTTAATTTTATAATTGCTTATTTTATGTAATTTTTATACTGAAAAGTCTAGAGCATTATCAAAATTTTGATTCCATCATTGTAATTATACTAACCATGTGGTTGACGTAACCCGATTATATACTTGAATTATCGAGTTAAATGTATAGACCTTTAACTTGGTTAAATAACCTTATATTAGATATATCAATTATATCGACATATAAGCTTGATTGTATTATCAATATATCGATGTTCAACTCAGATATTTTTTTTTCATATTGTAATTGTAATGGTTATAGAATTGGTAAAAAAGGGACAAGTACAATTAGTCAAAAGAGGTGTATATAATATGATATGTTAGAAGATGAAACAAACTAATTTGATCATCGAAATTCCTTTTTATAGGTATTTCCAATGCATTTTGGATGAAAATTGAAGACAATGTGATCTAACATACAAAGAACAAGAAAGGAAAAAGATCTTACAAAATAACTATTTCATCCAAGTATATTCTGGTTAGAACATTTTGGCGTCCATTGTAAAGTTGAAGTAAGTTTCCTTCAACTACTTATGTTTTCAAGTCGAAGCCACGCTAGGAGTGTTATGAGAGTAATAGATCAAGGAACATCAACCATGGAAGATAGTGCAACACTATGGAGATTAATAGACCATGCTACAACAAAAGGTTAAGCTAGATGCATTACTAATTTGAAGCTGATCTCCAAACATTATGTACTAAGAACAAAGCCATTAGAAATCAATTGTGTCAACAAGCACAATGAATCTAGTCATGCCCCTTGCGAAGAAGAAGAAAATAATTCTTCTCTTGATCACATACCAATTTGAACATACCAATCTAATCATTTGCAAGGTCATCACACTGTCTGACGACACCTTTTCATTGATAGAATAATGGAAGTCCACCTTCCTAAAGAATGGAAAACATTATACATTGAACGATATGATGAAACTTCTAATTCTAACAAGCATATTAATGCCTACACCACTAAAATGAATTTTTACACAAATGAAGATGTTATCATGTGTCGTGTATTTCCAACCTCATTGAAAGGAGAGTAGAGTGAATGTTAGACTATAAGAAAAGAAGGTTGAATTGTTTTTTTAAATGACTTCTTTATGGGACTCTATTCTTTAAAAGGTAAACTTCTGAGTATTTAAACTTAGAGTATTCTTCTAAAAATAATTTTTGAGTTAATAGATTATGCAACAATAGAATACAAGATGCAATAAGATAAATGAAATAAGTAAAGTGATAGAATTAGAGAGATTGCACACAAATTTTTATACCAATTCATCCCAATTTGGTTACATCCAGTCCCTACACAAACTTGTGGGATTTTTATTATCACATTCAATTGTTGTTCAAGAACAACTCAACCATCTGCTGATACAAGAACTTCATTACATAGCCACTTGTTGAGATTTCCACACTCAACAACCTATTGAGAAAAACATAAACTCACAACCACTTGTTATATGAGATTACACAACCATTGTTGTGATTCCTTTCTACCTTTTGACACCTATGCGCACTCAGATCTGGGTAAAAAGGGTTTTACAAAGATGGATTTTGTAACCATACACACAACTAATATTACAACAAGTCTCTTATAATGGAGCTCCTACTAAGGAAGATTCATACTTCTTTTTCTATTACAAGAATGATACAAAATATAGAAGTGGAGATCTTTGAATGAATTAGAGTATGAAACAAGGATTATAACTTGACAACTTTTGTATTGATTTCTCTTTTTGATCTTGCTCGCTTCCAAAATATAGCCTTAGTCTTCCTTTTATAGCCATTGAAATAGATCCGTTGTGACTAAGTTTTTTTTAGCAAAATTGACATCATTGTACTTTGCCTTTTATGGAACTAGCAACTTTTTCTTCAAATGAGGTACCTTTTGAGTAAATCTTCTTCTTCAAACCTTTTGAGTAGAGTCTTCAATACAAGTTTTTTGAGAAGTTGTGTTTTAATTGAAGCCTTCTGTTCTTACCGAAAATCTGCCGTAGAGGTGATCTGCCGAGTAAGATTGGTGAGCCTCCTTCACGGGTACGCTTATTGCTCCAAGATGGGGGTGGTACCTGCAAAAGAGACTCCGATGCTAAAGTTAGTGTTTGTGGGAGTATGAATCTCGTATAAGTAATGCACGTACCTTAGTGTGAATTAGGGTTGCTTTGGGCCTTGGGCCTGAGATAAGATATGATAAGATTAGATAGTGGATCTCGTCGGAAGCGAGATCCCTCGAGATCAGTTATGATCTGCTTAAATGCCGAGATGACGTCGCATAGCGCGTGCCCGACCTCATCTTGTGCTGTGATGCCGAGCTCGGAGCTCGGCTTCGCGGTACGGACAGTACACTAGCCCCCCGAGCTCCGAAGACCGTAGGTCGAGGAGTTAAGACCGAGCTCGCTAGGGGGAAGTGACCTTTTGCGTACTTTTGCCTGTTGAGATACCATGTGTCGTAACTGTTCATTTTTCGAAAATGTGCAAGTGGCGCGTTAAGGGAAATGACGGTTGTGCAATGATGGTCTTGAAATTAATGTGTTGTCAGCGTGCCCTTAATTAGGTTGACACGTGGCATGGCCGTTTTGAAATTTGGGGAAAAAGCCCTTTTCTCTTTCTCTCCCGCATCTCTCCCCATTCACTCTACTTCCTTCCACTCTTTGGCTTCTTGGGTACGATAGTCCCCTTTGCCTTCTCGTTCCTTGCCTTCTCGTTTCCGCTCGCTTTCCGTCTCCATTTCTGGTAACCCCGTCACTACTAGGGTTATTTTCTGAGGAGGAGTACCAGGTACTTCCTTTCTACAGTTCTCTATTTTCTTTTCCCCAGATCTTCTCTTTCTTTAATGGCTGGTGGGAGTGGTGCCGGCTCTTCTGCGCTTGCTAGGGGCAAGGCACGCGGTAAGGCGGTGGCTACCGGGAGAGCCGCCACCGAGAAGAGGGATCCGCCTCCGCCCCGGGAGTCGGAGCCAGGCATCTCTGGCTACGACTGGGTCAAGCGTGATATGGCGGGGGTCCAGAGCGTTTTTCGGTCCTTTCTTGAGGTTAACGGGATCCCGCGGTCGTGCAGGGTTTGTGACCCTTCTATTTCCCGGATGATCCGGCTTGAACCTTGTCAGGCCGGTGAGGGTGTGTACATGGGGAAGTCTACCGACCCTCCCCATTTCTATATGTATCATTGTTTTTTCCGAGATTTAGGTGTCTGTCTTCCCTTCACTCAGTTTGAGTGTGATTTTTTGAACTTCGTCAACTCGGTTCCTTGCCAGTTGCACCCCAATAGTTGGGGTTTTTTGAGGGCTTTTCAAGTCCTGTGTACAGTTTTGGGGATAGAGGTGTCTCTTCCCGTCTTCCTTCATTTTTATCAGTTGAAGGTAGGCGTTCCGCGATACGACATATTATCTCTGAGTGGGAGTAGGGGTGGGGGTTTGTTTACTCTTTACTCCCAGTCGTACAAAAATTTCAAACAAGAGTTTTTCCGAGTCGCTCTTGTGGACGTTGACCCCATGGAAGATGGGGCGTTTTATTTCGGGGGGCTACTGAGATTTCCCTTCTATTGGTCCCCCCGCCCGTTGAGTTTCCACGGGTTGGGCAAAGGGAGCCTGACGGTTTAAGAGGCGGCTGCCATCGAGAACCTCGCCGCGCTTCCTCGTCCGTTGGATTGCAAGCTCTTTTTTTCGCTTGCAAACTCGGCGCACAGGGAGAGGGGCCTGGAGAATGAGTATCCTGTTGATAGACCATGGGCCAAGGGCCCAATGACCAGAGC